ATTGAAGAAGATCATAACACCGGCAAATTAACACATTCAATCGAGGACGACGACACCGCGTCGCTGATGTAAATTCCACCACGCTCGTAAATACCAAGCCTCGTTACTCCATCAACCCAAACCTGATCATTTTTAGTCCGATTGCCTTTCCTCCGCCGGAAATAAAATATCGATTTCTCTAAATCATGCACTGAGTAAACCTCCCTTCAAGTCATTCACAGCCCCGACGCGTAGGCAAGCATCCTACCATCACATCAATACTGTGCGACCACCATTCATAAGCATCATGGAAACTTGTGCCTAGTCTCAGAGCTCCCAGAAGTACGGCTACTGAGCTGAAACGATAGAATATCCTTCCACAAGACGACGACAATAGATCAAACAACCGCGCAGGGAGAAACATCGCGCACTACATTCGTAGTACCATTCAATTACTCACTCGCCGATTCATGACCAGCGTTTCGCGTCGCATAAGATTAAATGAAAAGGAAATGAAGGCATGAGCCTTAAAGGGAATCAAATCGCACGATGAGGAATCAAGAAGGGAAGTGCTCCTAACAACCCTGTAGCCTCTCGAAGATAAGTACAGACGTCTCCGTACCGATCCACGAGACTCTACTAGACTTGCTCATGACTCGTGAGACCTAAGGGAACCTATTGCTCTGATACCATGTTGTCACGACCCAAAATCCACTAAGGGTCGTGATGGCGCCGGACACCATTGTCAGGCAAGCCAACACCAATTTACTAGTAACTTCTTATTTTAATATTTTTGAAATCATTTCTTTTATACATTAAACAATGAGTAATGAATTTACTGAATAGATATTGATGTCTTTAACAAACTTAATATTAGATAATCCTATATTCATCCCAGAACCCGGTGTCACAAGTGCATGAGCAATCACTAAGAAATCAAATAAAGTACAATAACTGTCCGGAATACAAATTGGACAGAAAGTAAATACAATACATTGAAAGAGACTATACTGGCTGCGGGTCGCCTCAAGGAATGCAGCTCACCTGGTCTTCGTATCATCCATGCTGCTACGCCCACTAGGCCACTAGAGATACATGTGCCTGTGCAACAAAAATGCACAGCAAGTGTAGCATGAGTACGAAAACAACGTGTACTCAGTAAGTATCCCGTCTAATCTCGAAGAAGTAGAGACGAGAGGTCGACTTCGACACTTACTAGTGGTCTAATAATAATACGCCAATAATATAATAAATCAAAGATTTTATAAACATGGTTGCAACTCAGTAGAATAAAGCAAATAAATAATACTTTCTTTCATAGGAAATTTCCAGATTCCTTTTCATTATTTATACATTTATCTCAGGCCAGGGAGAACGAATATCAACATTTATAAATCTCAAGGCAAATATTACAAGCATGCACAAATCATGCCGAGGTCGTACGGCCCGATCCAACAATATTTAAATTGTGCACTGCCAGAGGGTCGAATGGCGCGAACCATAGATGCATCTATTACCCCGCTCGCGAATCATACATGCGACGCGGTCAAATATAAATAAACAATCACCTTGCTCGCGAATCATACATGCGACGCAGGTACACATAGAAACACACATTATAACAGTCAATCAAGACTTCATCAGGGAAACAATTATTGAAGGAGGTGTAAATTTCTCTTTTACAAGTCAAGAAAATGAAGTTTAACTCTTTTAGAAAGTCATCTGCCACTTCGATATGATTTAAGCAATTTAAACTAACAATAAGGTTACAAGTATTACAAGTAAAGCATGTTTTTGGGTCCTAGACTACCCGGACATAAGCATAATAGTAGCTACGCACGGACTCTCGTCACCTCGTGCGTATGTAGCCCCCGCAATAGCAGCACATATCCAATTAATTCACCTATGGGGATAATTTTCTTTTACAAGGTTAGAAAGGAGACTCACCTTGCTCTGAAGTTGCATAACCGTTATTTCGTGCCCTTCCGAAAACTCAAATTGATGCACATTGCTCCAAAACTAGCCAATAGTTATGTAAACTCATTAATATATGATCAATTACTCATTACAATCCAATTTATAACAATTCCTAACCCCGATCGAAAAGTTGACAAAATTTCCCTCGGGCCCACGTGCCCGGATTTCAAAAATTTTCGAAGATAAAGTCTACCCGTAACCTCACGAACTCAAATATATAATTTACTCCCAATTTCGTGCCTAAATCGTGGTCAAAATCCAAGAATACCAAATTTCTAGGTTTTTCTTCAAACCCCAATTTTCACTAATTTCCCATGATTTTCCATGTTAAAATCTAGATATAATCCAAGTAATTAACTTGCAATAGGTGGGAATCATTTACCATGACATGGATGATGAAAATGGAGCTCCAAAATCGCTCCTAGGTCGGCTCCCATGGAGGAAATGAGATTAAATGAGCCAAACCCATTTCTTTACACTTATACACTGCCCAGACGACTCTTCTTCGCGTTCGCAGGACACCCGTCGCGTTCGCAAAGAAGAAAATTCCAAAAAACCATTTTTCAAACTCTTCTCAGACAACCTCTAGTATAATGGCCATAACTTTTCGGACAAAACTTCAAATGCTAAATAATTTACCTTTCGGAAAACTAGACACAAAGAGATACAACTTTCATTTTTGGATCATCTCCAAATTCTTTATAGATTGCGAGATATGAGCCTCCGAAGTCAGACCTGTGCAACAGAGATTTTGTTCTTCGCGAACGCGAGGACCCCTTCGGGAACGCGAAGAACAAAGTCCCTGAAGCCAAATCCTTCTTCGCGAACGCGAGAGGATCCCCGCGAACGCGAAGAACAACACCAGATACCAGCATCAGCTATTGCAAAACAGCCCGAAATGATCCGAAACACACCCGAGGCCCCCGGGACCCCATCCAATCAAACCAACCAGTCCCATAACATAACACGGACCTGCTTGAGGCCTCAAATCACATCAAACAACGCTAAAACCATGAATCGCACTCCAATTCAAGGTTAATGAACTTTAGAATTTCAAACTTCTATATTTGATGCCGAAACCTATCAAATCACGTCCGATTGACCTCAAATTTTGCACACAAGTCATATTCGACATTACGGACCTACTCCAACTTCTGGAATCGGAATCCGATCCCGATATCAAAAAGTCCACTTCCGGTCAAACTCCTCAAAAACCTTCAAATTTCTATCTTTAGCCAAATGACTCCAAAATGACCCACGGACCTCCGAATTCACTTTCAATCGCGCTCCCAACACCAGAATCACCATACGGAGCTATTCCCAGACTCGGAATCCCAAACGGACATCGATAACACTGAAATGCACTTCAACCCAAACTTATGAAATTCTTTCAAAAATGCCAACTTCCGCAATAGGTGCCGAAACGTTCCCGGGTCTTCCAAAACCCGATTCGGGCATATGCCCAAGTCCGAATCATCATACGAACCTGTTGGAACCTTCGAATCCCGATTCTGAGGTCGTTTACTCAAAAATCCAATCTTAGTCAATTCTTCCAACTTAAAGCTTTCGAAACGGGAATTCTCTTTCCAAATCAACTCCGAACTTTCCGGAATTCAATTCCGACCATGCGTACAAGTCATAATACCTGAAGTGAAGCTACTCAGGGCCTCAAACCGCTGAACGACGCGCTAGAGCTCAAAACGACCGGTCGGGTCGTTACAAATAATTTATTCATTGTCTCTAAAATTATATTTTGAACTTGACATGAAATTGTCATGTGTCCTTTTGTAGGCATTTCTATAAGATTCCTTTTTATAAGAAATTAATTCCGGTAATCATATCAAGTTGGCATATGTTATGTGCGAATTCAATGGTTGAATTATTATTTTGTATTGAACTATATTTAATTTAACCTTTTTTTGTGCAAACATATAATAAAAATATTAACCATAAAAGAACAGAAATAGTACGCGTGGAAAAATAAAATTCAAAAAGCATATTCCTTTTACAATAATTCTAGTAAGGCAAACTTCATAATTAAAAACCTTAAAAGTTCTTCATAATTCAATCATGTTGTAGTAGTTTCTGTCACTTTTATCTCGTTAAAGCAAGCTTCAAAAACAAAGTCTAGGAAGGAAAATATTTATTTTACCTAAAAAGGAAGGAAAAGATTCTATATGATTTTAAAGTCTTAAATATCAAGATTTTCAATATAATTGAAATAAGGAAGTCTTAAATATCAAGATTTTCAATATAATTGAAATAAGGAAAGATTTAATAAAAACATTTTAGTTGGTTTTAAATTAAAGTCCTAAATATTAAAAAAATAATTAAATTACAATTTTATCCAATGTTAAATCTATTTTTAGAGGGCAAAAAAGGCGAACGACATTTAATATGATATAGATAGTTAAATATATTTGAAAAAATCCCAGACGATACGTGTTGTTCTTTATGAATAGCGGGAGGATCTTGTTTTGACTTTTCGTTGCTAATGACTCATAGATTATATAGTATAATTACCCTTTTTAAGCTTAAATACAAGGCAGTCTAGATTTGAGGTGTTGTACAATTATTATCACAATTATGTTGAATATCCAAATAACGGAAAATGAATATATAACTGCTTACTCGGAAGCAGTGGTGGCAAAATGGTTAAAAGAAAACGGTTAACCACCCATATTATCCACTAAGAAATTAGTTGGATAATAAACTTTTTAAAAACGGGTTAAATATAGATAAGAACCATATTATCCATTTAGAAAATGGATAACCAATGGATAACTTTTACATTTGTAAAGCCTCAAATTGGAGGTTCCCAAGGGAGATTAGGAATTCTCCCAAAAGTAATCATATTCAAAAAGTGATGGATAATATGGTTACCCATATTATCCGCTGGTTAACCCGTTTTTTAGCCGTATTAAATATGGGTCGGGTGGGATAATTTATCCATTTTTCATTATCCATTTTTGACCCGACCCATATCCGACCCGCCCAGCCCGTTTGTCACTCCTACTCGAAAGTAACTAGAACATGAAATGAAATTACAGTAAAGTTTCTCCTTGATAATACTGAACTCATTCGTCTTTCACTCCTTCCGTTAATTGTCGAAAAATCTTCTCATCACTCGAACATTTGATACATGAAGATGTACAGAGAACAGTATCAATTTCAATGCAGCAAGAGTTACGGATTAAATTTTCCTATAATACTGTGGGATGATCCTTTTTTTACAATGTGAATGTAAATATACCTTAGCACCTCGCATTCTTTTACAAACACTGAAGAGCTCATCTGGAAAATATATGCATCCTTTAGCATCCACAGACCCTTGCTGCTATCTTGCAACGTGCTGCAGAGGTGGCCATGCGATCTCATCATCATTTGTGTAACCATTGATAAGGAAATCAGAGCAATTCTTTCGACATCCATGGTTATAAGGATTCCGGAACCTCCCATCTGGACCACGAAGATACCCATATCTAATAGCATTCGCCATTTCATTGGTTGTAATATTTCGAGCTATCTGCACAGAAGGAAATAGTACATTGCCTCAATTCTCCAATCATTTATTGTGACACACAGGCAATATTCATAAAGGAAAGCTCCATTGCATCGACACCCCAACTGAGATACCGATGCCCTGTTGGGATACATCTTCAAACCATTGTCATAGAACACTATAACAAGTTACTAAATCCCTAATAAAGAGAGGGTAAGCCGATACATAAAAACCTCAGCCACCCAACACCCTTTTTCTCTTTAAGAGGTCTCATAAGAGATGAATTCACATCAGTCAAGTTAGACTGCATAAAGGACAAGACTACCAACACATTTCATATCCAGCACCATCGCATCAAAGATATTGGAAACTGCTTCAATTATGTCAAGAACTGTCTAAACAATCAATGATCTTATTGAGTATAGCTTCAAATTCACTACTATGAACATGAAGACAAGGCAGCTAAACTTAAGCTCATTGGAAAGTCTCAAGTGCTTAAAAACCCACCTACTGTTGTTCCGGTCTTCTGGAAGGAGTTAAAATATTAGTTTCAGAAGCAAGTATACAACTGTTGATATAGATGGGATTTGGTTCGTTTATACTAACTAGTTTGGGTAATTTCATCCCCTTGCAAGAGAAATATTCAACCAGATTTTTCTTTTTCTTTTTCTTTTTTTTGGGGGGGGGCGGGGGGGGGTAACGGAGGAATCGGATTGACCTCTAAAGTGGATCATGAGCAAAATATATATATAGGCTTCAGTTGCTTAATGACCAGGAACGACAAGAAAACCAAGGAATCTAATCTATACCTGGGATATCTGTACTACACACAGAGTTACAGCAGCAATCAGAATAACCCCATCCATGAACAGAAAAGCGATTACACCGGGATACGCAAATACAACATGATGTAACCACGATCCACCATCTACCATTGATGGTACTGATGTCCAAATTCCTGCAAGATGTAATAAGTTTAGTTGTCTTAAGCAACCCAGTGTCATTTATTAGTATATGCTACAAGTATCATTCTTAAGATACAATACTAAAGATAAAGTGCTTTTAACATACTTTCGACGGCTACTGCAGCACCAATTATAGATGTCAAAGAACCCATGCAAAGGAAAACGAAGAAGTCCCGCTTATTCCTCTGCAAATTTCAGCAAGAATGACAATGAAATCAATGGTTAAAAGCACAGGAATTGAAGAAAAATATTTGCAAAACTCCTACAACTTGGAATATGCAAGAATTGCTGTAATCTGCATTTAGTGAGGAAGTCAACAAACTGATGCAAGATAGCTAGAAGAAAAATAGAAAAAAGAACAAGAAATGAGATTGATGCCTAACATATCTAGAAGGAAAGGGTTTGTACTTATGTAATTGCTGCAATCCATAGTTACAGGATTAGAGATTTATATACCACAAGCCGCATAAAAAATATTAAATTCCATGGTACTAACACTCATTTTTATTGCATCTAACCAGACTGGTAGCCCCAGAGGACAAAACAAGCATACAGTAAAAAAAGAATTAGACAAAACCAATGGCTAGCAGAATTTTGTATACAGTGTATGTTCCTTTAGTAGCTTTTAAATGAGGTCATACCTTCCCCACACAATTTGAGACCCAGGGGCAATGATGATCAAATTGTTCAACACAGCGGTTGCAAGTAGGACAGTGTTTTGACCGAACAGGTCGTATGATCTTGCAAAAAAATGTTCAACAATCAACACCAGAAAACGAATGCATCATCAAAAGGTAGTAAATATCTTGTAGTAAAAAGAATAGTTTTTTTAAAGAAACCTTGCAGGTGGGACAAAGCTGAGACCAGTTCCCAGTCCAACTGGAAGTATTGTTCAGATCAATATTCAATAGTGGATCCTGGAAGAATCAGCTAACACCATTAAGTAAATTAGAAGATATTAAATTGCTGTTGAATGAATCCAAAATGAGAGTGAATACCTGAGCATCAGGTTGACCAGTGACCCCCGTCTTGATGTAACCTGGATCTTTACTGCAAATGAGAATGGAACATTCACCTTTAGCTCCATAATGAGGCATGAGAAGCCAAGGGCAGGCATACATTTACCAAAAAGAAACACATAAGACAACACATTTAAGTATAACTTTAAGTGCCAAGAATACTGCCACATAAACAAGCCCATTCATTTAAATCCAACATTGTACAGGACAAACTCCAAAAAATCTATAAGCAATGTCTAGGGATCATAGTGATATAAAGGACAAGAAAGAGCGGACTGATTGATTAGATGGTTCATCAATGATAATGGCGAAAAGGAAGGGAAACAAGGGAAGGGAGGATGAAGCTTCTTTAAGAGCAAATAAGTCTTCTCCTTGTAATAAAAAGAGAATCAGTAATTCTTCTGCTTTATCTAAGTCCAGTTCGGAAAGATTTAATTTCCTCCTTTCACAAAGTTATGGTTTTATGCTATGTTGGTCGGACTCTCAAAAAGTGCTGCCGCACCCGTGTCGGATCCTCCAAAAATGCACTAAATTTGGAGGATCCGACACGCACCCAACAACATTTTTGAAGAGTCTGAGTAACATAGGTTTTATGGATCACAGAATCACACAGATTAACTTTTATGAGTCAGCAAGCATGTTAGTTTATTGCAGTTCTATGACTGACTGCTGCCGGCTTTTCACAGTGCTACATTCCTCTTCTAGCACATACAAAATTTGTGCATCATACTATAGAGTTTGTAGAATTAGGCAAAAGGAAAAGAACAGACTATAAGCAACATTTGCGCTATACACCAGTATCAAATTGCTGCATTTGCCTCGAGTTTTCCGTGCCTCATACTCTGAACTGGGGAACCCCTTGTGCACTACCATACTCTGATTACGTTAATTTTTTGCTTAAATAGAATACTCACAAAAGTTCCCATTGGCTTTAATACATTATGGGGTTTAGTACAATCCACATAGTAAATTAAGTGGGCTTGGCTGCATCAATCATTCATGTAATTAAACAGGAGAAGTTACCTACTGCAACGCACTAACATTAGGAGCGCAGCAACTGCCAGGGAAACAGCAGTCCACCCCCAAAGTGCAACAACAGCAGTAACTTTTGTAAGACCAGAAGCTAGCAAAAACAAGATCCAGTAACAATTAGTAAGTTGCTGCCTCCAACTTAAAGAAAAAACAGAATACCACAAGAAGTACCATCACTCACCAAAGAGTACTGAACTGATAAAGAGAATGACATTGACAACAACAACAGAAAATAGAATTGGAGCGTAGCCTTTTCCCCCCATTTTAGCAGGGAAAACCTTGTCTTTCCACTGCTTTCTCTGTGACCTTTGGGCATTAGACTGCACAGAATTTGAATTTCAATGTCATTCAGACAAAATACTTCCAACCTCAAGACACAGCTAAAAAGATGATAAATAATAACTGTTTAACGATAGATAGAAGGATCAGCATGGTTCTTGAAAATGATAGGATGACAGATGACCTAATTTATCTTAACTGCTAACTTTTCTCAACAGTTTTGTGTTTGTTTGGGGGAAGAAGGATGTTGAAATTCTAATATAAACTGATTGAGCAGCACCCCCAAGAGTAGTTTTCAGAAAAATAGTAACTACTTAGGAGAGTTCAGCATTAAACTTCTAGAAAACAGAAGGATGACCTAATAAAATCTTCACCGCTGACTCTTTTCAGAACGTCAAGCTAAGAAAACTGCACTGAATGTAAATAATGATTGCGTAACAACAACACAACAAAAACAACATCATGTCTCACTTGCAAGCTAGTTGGGGCCAGCTATATCAATTCTCACTATACATTTCGCTTCAATTGATTATGTTAGCCAGGAGAAAAATTAAGGATATTGTGCAGACTACAATAACAACAACAACAACAACAACAACATACCCAGCATTATCCCACACCGTGGGGTATGGAAAGGGTAGTGTGTACGCAGACCTTACCCCTACCTTGTGAGGATAGAGACGTTGTTTCCAATAGACCCTCGGCTCAGGATAGATATTGTGCAGACTATTCTTAAAAATTATGATATAATAAAGACTTCCAAAAATTAGGAAACTTTCCTTATTTCATGCAGCGCAAGACTCCTATATAAGGCCTTCTTGTATGTTGTTAACTAACCTTTTCGGTTTTAACATATTTCATATATTTTGGTTCGTTGTTGTGGGTGATGGTTGAGATTCTCTTGAAAACTGATAGTGCAGCCTTTGACAATTCAATTATCACAAGCAACAGAAGGTAGTAAAATCAGCAAATCATTAGAAATCTGGTAGCATTATCTCATAGAAGTATAATGTTTGCAATAAAGATGAAACTAAAAGCATTAGTAAGCATAAATCTCAGAGAGCACCCGAGGGTGCGGCCTAGTGGTTGATTAAGTGGGAGGAGAACCATAAGGTTTTATCCTAATACAATCCAACAATTTCTTTAACGCCTCACAAGGCAAATCATTCTTTTGTGCAAAGAACATGATGAAACTGAAACTTACTCTGCAAGCTTTATGAGCTTCATCATGCTAGCTTCCCTTTTTCATAATAAAATCTCATGGGATAAGACTCACACAACTAGAGCAGTATATATGTTCAAAATATGAATTCACCTTTAATTCAAATTGTGCATCATATGAAAAGAGTAGGAGGTGAAGCACAAAAATTAGAGAAGGCCAAAGCATTAACACATACTGCAACATGCTCACAGGCATTATTTCACCACGAACTAAAAGGTTCGCCATGAGTTTGAGAACTTACAGATTAAAAAGCTTTTACCTTTTGGAATCATAAATTGAATGCCCCTTAGTTTAGAATCTTTATACATCCATTCTTCTCATAATGAAATGAATTAAACCCACTTGTACAAAGTATTTAGTTCAAGAAAGATTAACCCAGAAAAACTCAATTAAATAGCAAGACGGATTAGAAGTCGATCAAAAAGATCATCATCTCTAAGGTATTTATTTGAGACTTGAAATCCATGATAATACAAGTCATCCAGGCAAATCGTGGATTTCAGCAAGGATCCAAATCCATTCATTTCACGGAAAAGTCATTCCAAATTCATCACAAATACACCGCCCAGCAACATGCCTCCCATCTCCAAAACCCCGTATTTACAAAAAAAAAGGAAAAACATACACACGTGAATATAAAGGATTATCATATTATAGCATAACCCAGCACGTCAGATGACAAAATCTTCACGATAGTACTATTTTCTTTTTGGGGATTAAGATAGCACTATATGTTATATATAATCTCCTTCATAATCGCACTTGGATACAAGCAACCACACATAGAACTTCCAGGTGAATCTTTCAAATTGTTCAGAAACTACCATTACGGGCAATAGATAATTTCTATACAAAGAGTTACCTACAAGTATAAGTGCTATTTGCCGATGACCTTTATCAGATGCAAGCTCTGCAGGAGTAAATCCAGCCTTATCTTTGACTGTTAAGTCTTCCTTTGTGCCTGCATGTACAAGTAAAGTGCAAGCCTCTGCGTTTCCTCTTAATGCTGCCCAATGCAAAGGAGTGCAACCTGCAAATGTTTGAAGTATCAGCATTATACTACTGTGATTGTTGCTCCGAAACAATAATTCGATGTCCGGATATATATACATATCAATTATCATAGTCAATCAGTAAAAACTTAATTAAAATACAAGATCAACCAAAACCTCCTCCAGATAAAGTGTTTTTTACATCATGGTCACAACCATCGAGGAAAAATGCGTAATTAAACCACATATGAAGCCAATCGGATACTTTTTTTGGATGACTGAGAAATCCATCTGGAGCCAACCCTTAGGACCAATCGCGGCTTTCGAAACTCGGGAATAATGGATCCACCCGTCTATTCTTCTCCATTCAAATATCAGGCTTATTTCGCATAGCTCAGGGCTCTAACCTGTGACATAAGTTGACAAGCAACCTTTGCCACTTGAACAAAGCCTGGGGGCTAAAGCTAATGGGATACTAGTCCCAAACTTTCAGATAAGCGCATGCCAAAGTCTTAGAATGCTGCAAATGGAAAGATTGGACCCATGCATTAATGGAGGAATGATAAGCAATCCCTCCCCAAAGAAAAAAAAAAGAACCTCAAACCACATTCTAAGTCTTCCAAAGGTCCATCCCAGAAAAACTCATAAAATCCCAATTGTTTTCTTCAAATCAACAGAAGAGACTTGCTCAAAGAAGTTCTGGATTTCATTCTCCACTTAGTATATACCCTTGACAGCTGGCTCCAAACCACCAACCCAATATCGAATTCTTCACACAAAAGTCCTGTAGTGTTACTTTCCTCACTCATTTTCCTACTTAGATGTCAGTTGAATTTGGAAGACTTCAATGAACAACATATATGCGCACTTTCTTATCAGTACGTAAAAGATTCATTAATGCATTAAAAGTCTAGGGCTAAGTTAGTGCAAGTATTACAAAAAGGTAGCCCTTCCTTACAGAGTCCAATCATATAACATGTCTATGATATTTATGCAATTTTGAGGATTGAGATTCATTAAAAAAATTCCTTTTTTGTATAAGCTAAGTAAGATTCATTAAATTCAAAGACCAATATGATATCATGATTCCCTTCTTATAAAAAAATGGATGTAATGATTCACTAAAGAAGGAAACAGAATCTGATAATTAATCCACGTAAGAGGATTGTCATAGCAACAAGGACAAAACAATCACAAGATGATAAAGTTTATGGTTTTGACCCGGATCAAGTGAGATTCAAACTCTTGCTTTTTTCAAGCAAAAGGAGGGGCATTCAGCCCCAAAAGTCAAACCCTTGTTTGAACTAATAAACAGTAGTTTATTGAAAGCTAACAAAATACAAACTCATTCCTTTAACAAAGTATAAAATTTATGTTACAAACCATCATTTTATTAAAAGAAGCACCACAAAAGAAAATAATAAATTGCTTCAAATCGCCATCTAGAATCCAAACATTGACACTGCAACTTACATTTCATGCTAACACAAGTATTTTTTATAAGACATATTTCCACAACCATAACTGTTGCATAACATTGACTCTGAAGCAACATCATGGAACACATCAGCTTCAGAGTGCTGCGTCTATTATTTCCATCTCCATCAAATTGTTATAATTGAAACTATGATTGGTCCAGGCCACGTGCATTAAAAACGTCTCCTTAACTTGCAAAAGCATTACATATAGACCAAGAAAATTTAAGAAAACAGTACATTCAATATAAACATACCATCTTTATCTTGTCTCCCTTGAAAAGCATCTCTGAATAGAAGTAACCTAATTGTATCACCAAATCCCTTGTATGCAGCCCTAGTTGGAAATAACAGAGAAAATGCTTATGCGAAATATCATAAAATAATGGATAACTGCTGCCAGAAAACTATATAAAGAGCTAAAACAAAGATCAACTGAGTGAAACACTAATTTTTAAATTCCATAAACCAACACCAGTGGGCAAGAGACAAAACAAAAATTTCATTGTTCAATAGGGAATGTGGAATGCCCCAACTTGCATGCAGTACCAGGAACAAAAGATTAAAGATACTTGGAGTAGAAAGGCACAGCACAGCTTGAAAAATAAAAACCACATCAAAATCAAGAGTGTTATATACAATGTCAATCAATGATATTTTTGAGAAGGATGTAAATCAATGATTCAATCCTGCGGTTTAGATTTGATGAGATGAAACTACTAATAGGAAGTTAGGAACAAGCATAAAGAAAGAGGAAAAAGTACAAAACAAACTATAACCAGGGCTATAAAACATGGATACCAAACTTTACATATCCAAGGCATACTTGAGTCCTAATGTTACACACCACTAAGACATGTGTGCAACAGCAATCCACCGAGTTACAACTAAAAGACAACACTTCTTCCCCAGTTTTCTATCTTTAGTTCGCTAACAGGACTCTTTTTAAGAAGTTTAGGAGTTACTTTGTATGACACAAAGCTTCTGACCAAATAACCTGTCAACTCTTTTATTCAAGCAATTGCGACATCAGAAAGGAAGAGGAAGAGACATCCTTATTAGATTTAGGCACAGTATAGCGTCTACGACCTTTTAGTCATCGAAATTATTTTGGTACTTTCTATTGTGTGCTGAATGACTAGAACTCTTATATGTGGTAGTGGAATCTATGAAATGGATGGAGTTTGTTTTTCTGTTATAATCTGATCATTCTAATGCTTCTTCTTGTAACCAAGCTAGAGCAGCTCCCATGGACATGTAAAACTTCCACGTTTTTGCATCCCTGACTAGATATCTGCTAGGAATGGTAACGGATCTTCTCCTAAGATTTTTGGTTTAAAATATTCAAAATATTTGATGCTTAAACTTCTCAAGATCATGCTACATGCTTAATTAACTTTACCTAGACTGCCCGAAGCCAGCTGAAAACGGGTTCTAATATAATTAGTTTTTGATCATTGTGTAGCAAGAAGCATAAAACAAAATAAATAATTGCGAATAAAGAGGAGGATATCTTGGAATTGATATGGTTATTCAGAATTCATGATTAGGAAGGGAAGCCAGATCTCAGGCAACGCAAGAAGAAATATCTGTACATAGAAGTATAATTCAATCCCATCAAAACTACAAGTGAACTTGCCATGATGAAACTAACACAGACCACAAACACATCCACATATCAGTATGAAAATATAGCAAGGAGTCATGAGAAAAATTGCCATTTGAAAATCAAGAAGATGATGGATCTTCAACTCAAAACCGAAAACTCATACTATAAATGCTGGGTTTGCTAATCATACCAGTGAAGAGGGCTCCTCCCATCATTATCTGGTACATTAAGGTCAGCGTGATACTTTGCAACAATGTGATTTAGAAAAGCTGTTTGACCATACTGAGCTGCAACATGAACTGCCTGTAAATGAAGTATGCATACTTCAACAGTTGATATAAATGAATTAAAGCACCTTCAAGAAAAGTCTTACCAAGAAAATTAGTCTCTAGAAGGCTCTAAAATCAGAGTTTCACCCTGTCAAATATTTGATTTATGTAATACATCCAGCATGTACTCTTGGTTTGTGAAAATAGAAGAAGATGAGTAATGGTGAAGAGGAATCAGGACAACGAGAAGCCCATAACTAACGAGGAAGAAACTAAGATAAAGAAGATTTTAGGAATAATTAAGGCAAAAAGTTCCGTATACACCATCTGCCCCAAGTGTCCCAGCCAATACAAGTCTAGGTTGTTGGATCCTTTATTTCATTGAAAGCTTACACTTGGAGAGTAATTAAACAAAAAAAACATAGTCCTTTTAATTCAAAAAGTCTGAACCAAATTGTCTTTTAGTTTTCCACTATGTGTTCCCAGCTACAATACTCCTCCATTCATTAAAACTATCAGTTAGGAACCTTATTAATTCTGTTGCATCAAACTGGCAGCTGTAAATTCATGATCTAAAAGACATAACATACGCAGACAAAGACTGTTCAGTTGGCAAGATTAAAATCTCTAACTCTTTCAAACTTGTAAATGATTTTTTGACTTTGGATGTTGATCCTAGATGCAAGAGAGAAAAATCTAAAGGAGCTTAACTGTCATGATTCAAAACTAAAGATAACAATAAAAAGAGTTATTGGTAAATGACCAACTTATAGAGATAAATTCGAAAATATTTACAACAATACTGGAATTTGACTAGTTGGACTATGCAAATGAACAGAATGTACTCTACATTACCCGATAGCCATTAACATCAGCAGCCTCAACCCGCGCACCATTCTGCAACAACACATCAGCAGCAGCAATTGAGCCCCGCACTGCTGCCCAATGCAATGCAGTCTGCCCCGCATTGTCGGTCGCATGGACATTGCCTCCGTGCTACACACGCCACCAAATAAAAAAGCACCAACATTTACCTCCAAATGAACAATTAAAAACTAGATATTCTCAAAATAAAAAAAATAAAAACAAATGATAGTACCTCGATGATATATTGGACAATATCAACGAAATTGTTGAGAGCAGCCCATTGAAGCGCGTAATATCCGTTGCCGTCGGGCTGGTAAACGGAAACGCCGTCAATTTCAACAAACTTTCGGAGTTTGTCAAAATTTCCGTAAGCGGCAGCAGAGTAAACATCAATTATGGCTGGTTCGTTAGGGTTTTGAAAACCCGAATTCTGTTGATCGCTGGAGTCGGATACGATTTCGATTTCTGAAGAAGGCATTGATCTGGTAATTCAAAATTCTGGATCGAAGTGTTGTTGAGGGTAGTTAGTTCATTCTGTTGCTGTGCACTTTTTTTTGCATTTACTGGAGGGTGGATTTCATTTAAAGCACAGTATTCAGGCGCCTGGATTAGTCAGTATGTTTATTACTCTACGGCTGCTGCTGGAGTAGATTATTTGTAATTTGTTGCATCATTATTTATTGTTACTGATTGGTATGGTCATTTTAAATTAGATTTTCAATTGTTAACATCTAAAATGAACATGAATTAGAAACATGATTGCTATGGATCATGTTCCTCGTAAACATGAAATATTGTAGAGTATTACTATTAGTTAAAATGATGCATTATTATTTTTGTGCATGTATTCTATTTGCCTAAAATCAACGAATATATGTGTGGTGTAGTACCATCTCTTTTGTTGTTACCTCATGACATTTTTGTATGATTATTTCTTATTATAGTTGGTTATAGGAGATTATTTTTTTTATTTAGTTAATTTGCATGTCACATGAATATTATGCTTCTTGTATTGGTCTAAATTTGGCGACTTGGTAACAGTAGCTAAAAGGGACCAAGGACGGGGTCGATTGCGACGTAATAGCGGGATGTTATCCTCGAGAGGGCTGTTGTCAAGGGCGAGCAGCTGAAGTGAAGAAATAACGGTAGGATAGGTTCAGATATGGACATAAGGAATATTCCCTGTTTTTTACTTTTTAGGGTTTTTTGGAGATATCCTTTATAAATAGGAAGAGATAGAGAACGAAAGGGGATCTTCTTCACTTTCTGAGAAAAACATATTGTAAAAGGTTGACTTGAGAGAATATACAAAAGTTGTCTTGTTCATCGATTATCTTATCCAAGCACATGTTATTTATTCTTTGTTCACAAGATTCAAAGATTCCATAACCATCTTCACTTATATTCTTTCCACATTGGTGTCAGAGGAAAGAACCATCCAAGTCATACAATAATTGGGTGGTAGCTTCTTTCTTATTACCTTCATTGCCATTATCTACATTTATTGCATGTTTGTGTCATCGCATTTATGAGCATTCATTGAATATAAACGTGCTGATTAATGTTGTTCGTCTCATCGACTTCACATAATATTTGGTCTAGATTTTATTATTTTTAACTAAGATTCATCCTTCATCTCATCATTAATCGGTTTAACTAAAAGGCTCAACACTTTTTGGTCAAACAATTTGGCGCCGTCTGTGGGGAGTTTTTAGTTAAAATTTTAGTTTCTTCTAGATCATAAAAAAAAAAAGGGACAGTCATCTTTTCCTCGTTTGCACGAACTAACAATGGCAGGAAAAGGAGATGAAAGACAGAAAGCAATAATGGGTGTCACTACCAACATCTTAAACACCATCAACGAGGATGACGGAGGAGACAATGAGAATGTAACACCAAATGCTACACCCAGGCGGAGTGTCACCTCCCCCTCATGCAAGCGTAACCGCTTCGCGCGAAAGGGGAGCTTCCACATCCGCAGTTGAGGAAGCACCACCAGCACTAAAAAAATTATTGGAGGAGTGGCTGACAAGAACCCTAAATGACATACTCGACAAACCCGTTCAAAGGGAAAATAGAAATACCTTGCCAGCAGACATCACAACGACTGCCGGTGAACAACCCGCTCCCCCAACAGGTAACACTCACACCGCTGTTGATGCAGGTAATGACGCACTCACGACCATCCTAAAGAAAATGGAAGAAATGGAAAACGAGAACAAAGAGCTCCGTGACCAGATGAGGGAACATCAAGAAAGGGTCGATAAAATACCGGGCGCCCCAAAACTGCTACCAAAATGGGATGTCGGCCGATTCGTCGAACAACCATACAGCGAGGAGGCGGCCCAGCATGCCATACCCAAAACCTTCAAAATATCGCCATATATGAAGATATACGACGGCACGACGGATCCTGAAGACCACATCATTCACTACGTCACGGCAGTAAAGGGAAACAACCTATCAAAGGAGCAAGTACCGTCAGTGCTACTAAAAAAGTTTGGCGAAACCTTAAGCGGGGGAGCCTTAACTTTAGGGGTATTCGTCGGACGATATGGTACGGTATTTAGACATTTTGGTTCGGTATTTTTGGTATTCGGTTTCTTAAAACCCTATACCAATACCGTACCTAACTAAATTCAGTATGGTTCGGTTTTTCTCCTTTCGGTTTCGGTTTATTCGGTTCGGTAACTTCGGTTTATTCGGTTTGAATACTAACTAGTGCATAGAGCCATACACTGTAATATTCTTAATTAAAATACTCAAAAATACAAAACTGAAAATGTTTGTTGATAAAAAAATTGTCCAAAACTAGCAAATATCGACCCAAATAGAGAAAATTCTACATAAAAGAATATCTGATCATTAGAAATATCTTGTTACTTGTTTAGAGTTAATTGATGAACTTTGCGAATAAAGGAAAGTAAACTTTTAGATTTTTTATATTTATGTTATAATTGATAATTGTTTTGTGTAATATAATATATATTTCGGTACAGTATCGTTATTTCGATATTTTATCTTAAAATACAAAATACCATACCTAATACCAATTTTATAAAAAACTTAAACCAAATACCATACCAAATACCAAAATACCGTATACCAAATACCAAAATTCTCGGTTTCGGTACGGTAATTCGGTATTTACCAAATTATGCCCAACCCTACTTAACTTGGTACTCGCAATTACCAGCACGGTCTATAACAACGTTCGAGGAAATGGCCGACAAGTTCGTCACCGCCCACGCCGAAGCTAAGAAAATGGAAGCCAGAGTAAATTATATATTCGTTGTTAGGCAATCGCCTGGCGAGGGACTCAGGGACTTTTTAGCCTGGTTTAACAGGGTAAGAATGAGCTTACCAAATGTATCAGAAGGAATGGCGGTAGCAGCTTTCCAGAACGGGTTGAACAGGAACGGATCGAGACCGACAAGAAAACTATTAAGCAGACTCATGAAATACCCCCCACCACTTGGGAAGAAATTCACAACGCCTGTTGCGCCGAGGTGAGAGCGGACGAAGACGACCTCAACGGTCCGATACAACGGTTAACTTTGGTTCAAACAGAGCCGAGGAAAGACCGTCGTAGTGATGGTCGAAGAGATCAGTCAGGACCCCGCTTCAACCGAGACAGGCACCAACCTTATGTCAGAACAGCCGTCCCACCATCTCCTCGCCATGTGGAAGGACCGTCCAGGCCGCATACAAGGACTTAGTGGAACAAAAAAGGTATACCTCCGCTCTTATCTACTCACAATTTTTGTGTTACTCCTTTAGAGATAGTGTACGCACTAGAGAAGCTTGGCCCAAAGGTGAAGTGGCCGCAAAAGATGAAATCCGACCCAAGTACCCGAAAGTCGAATATCCTCTGTGAATTTCATCAGGAGCGAGGACACAAAATTGAGGATTGCATAGCCCTACGACAAGAGGTAGTGAACATGCTCCGCCAAGGACACCTAAAGGAATTGATGAGCGACTGAGGAAGAGCCAATTTCAGCCGCGGAAGAGAACAACACCAAGGACCACCAAAACTGCCTTCCCCTGCCCGCACCATTCAAATGATCATCGGTGGAGGCGACGAAACAGCAATTGACCACATAAAGTTTACCACCACACACAAACTGAAGCGGTCGATCACCCACGAACGGTATGATGACCTCGGAGAAAGTATCATCTTCGATAAGTCATGTACCAACGGTTTGATTTTTCCTCACTCCGATGCTCTTGTCATTACTTTACGTATTTCAGATACTAACGTAAAAAGAAAAATGGTAGACGACGGTAGCGGCGCGTGTATTATTCACCCTCGAGTTCTACAACAAATACGACTCGAGGACAAGATATTACCACGCTGCATAACACTAACGGGTTTTATCAATGCAGTCGAGCAGACCTCAAGAGAGATAACGCTTCCCGTTCTGGCCGGGGGCGTCACCCTAGAAACAATATTACACGTCATGAACCAGGACACATCTTACAACACAATCATAGGACGACCGTGGATACACGCCATGAGGGCCATCCCGTCTAGCCTGTATCAAGTAATCAAATTCCCAACTCCGTGGGGGATATTCAGCATCCGAGGCCAACAACGCACAGTCCAAGAATGTTATCGCATCGCCCAAGATTGCACATTCACTCAACAGCTTAAAGGAACAAACTCAAAGGCATAGCAATTATCAAAGTCGGGGTCCGAGCCCAACGATCAGAAAGACGTTATCAAGGACCCCGACGTCATGGAAGCAGCAGGGTCAACAATAGAAGATCTTGATCCCGTCCAATTAGACAGCAACAACAACAGCAAAAAGGCTTATATAGGCCATAAGCTCTCCGAGCCAAGTAAATTTCATAAATTTCTTATCGTTAACGCCGATCTGTTTGCTTTTTCCTTCGCAGATATGCCAGGTATTTCGAAAGACATTGCCACACACAAGTTGAACGTCGATCCCTTCTACCCCCAGTACGACAAGTAAGAAGTAAATTCAATGCCGCAATCAACGAGGCCGTCAGCGAAGAAGTGGATAAATTACTCGCTAACAGCTCCATCCGAGAATCAAAGTACCCTCAATGGGTCGCCAATGTAGTCATGGTAAAAAAGAAAAATGGGAAGTGGCGGATGTGCGTGGATTTCGCGGACCTGAACAAGGCCTGCCCGAAAGACTCCTTTCCCTTGCCTCATATCGATCAGCTAATTGACGCAACAACAGGGCATGAGTTGGTGAGCTTCCTGGACGCCTACTCAGGTTACAATTAAATCCTCATGGAGGAAGAGGACCAGGAGAAGACCACTTTTATCACCCATCAAGGAACGTACTGCTATCGGGTCATGCCATTTGGCTTAAAGAACGCGGGGGCGACTTATCAAAGATTGGTAACCAAAATGTTCAAGGACCAACTCGGCAAAACTATGGAAGTTTACATAGACGATATGTTGGTCAAATCAAAAAGGAAGGAAGATCACATCGATCACCTGAAAGAAGCCTTCGGGATACTAAGGCAATACGGCATGAAGCTGAACCCCGAAAAATGTGCCTTCAGCGTAACTTCAGGCAAGTTCCTCGGTTTCTTGGTGTCACAAAGCATCGAGGTCAACCCCGACCAAATCAAGGCCATTGAGGGAATACCTGAAGTGTTAACCAGCAAGAAACAGGTGCAAAAATTGACGGGCCGCAT